CTGCCCGCAGCTGCTCGCCCAGCTCCAGCCTCACACGTGCTCCGTGTGCCTTCTGCTCACCCTGTGCTCCTCTGCACGGAAAGATATCCAGAGCCTTCTGATAAACACCCCCTAAATAGCTTCTCCTTCGCCATCCACAGAGCGGCATAGAGCGCCTGACACCACACCGAGGGGGTTTTTTTTTTTAGGGAAAGCCGACCTGGAGGAATGAAGTGCCCCACGCTGTTCAGCGCTGACTGACCAACTAAGGAAGGACCCTGGTGAGCTCTGGAGCACTGAGCCCATCCTCCTGCCCGGAGGGAAGAGAGAAAGGCTGGGGGATCCTCAGGCTCAAGCAATGGCTGAGGAGAAGCCTGTGGCCATGGGTGATTCACGCCGCGCTACGGTTCCAGTCCCCTTTAGGGACAACGCTCAGGTGAAGGATTTGTCACCAGGAGACCCAGGGCAGCCCCGCGCGAAGGAAGTTTGTGATCGTACCCCAGCACCACACCCAGCTCCTTGACGTGAACTCTCATCTGGCCCTTCAGATACTCGGACAGCATCTTGCTTTTGAAATAGAGCTCCTGCAGCCGATCCTCCAGGTGCATAACGCACTGAAAAAGCAAAGGGAGGTGTGTCAGGGAGAAGACAGAGCTCTATCGAACCTGCACCCAGCCTCAGAGCAAAACAGCACAGACCCCGTGCGCCTGTTGCAGTCTCCCTGGCCATGCTGAGGTGAACACTTTGCAAGATATTCATCAGCAAGACTCCTGCTTTTGAGCAGAAGCCTTTGGTTGGGTGCTAAATCAGAATTAATGAGGGAGCTGTCTTGGTCCAGAGCAGCGTTTAAACGCTCAGACAGCTGCAGCGGGGCAGGCCCTCACTCCTGAAACTTTAAAAACCATCACCCTCCCAACTGTCCTTCGTACTTACAAAGTTTGGAGATAAGTGATGCTTGTAAAGCTGCAGAGTGGAATGAAGCAGGTTGGAGACAAGACTTGAGACTAAAACTTCTTTTCCCAGCTTATTATCAATCATCCGTCTCTGGCTACTGGCCACTTGCACCGTCCATTTGTCCGTGTCTGCAATAATGCAGACGGCTTCTGCGATCGGTTCATCCAGAACAGGATGCTGCAAACAAAAAAGGAACAGCAGAGCCCTCAGGATGACAAATGACAACTTTTCACAAAACATCACCGTCCTGGCTAGCAGGGGCAGCATCCCAGGCACCGCTTCGTCTGAAATACAGTCCCCTGTGCCAACGCTGCATTCCCTGTCGGCAAACCAGGGCTTCCCTGCAAGCAAGGCACAGGCTTAGGAGGAAAATTCTTATTTTAAGTTTTCTTCCAGGCTTGAAAGTGTGTCCCTGGCTGACAATTTTATCTTCTCATATCTGAGAGAGTATAGTTTGAAACCTCTAAAACTGAAAGTACCAAAAATCCCATGGCTGTGTTAGGAAATTGGGTTTATTCCCAGTTGTCACTGGTTTCCCTCCATGGGAAGACCAGCAGGGGGAGTCAGGAACCCAGCCTGTGCCAGCCCCTCCAGCCCTTCCAGGAGCCTTTCACCCCTCTAAAGCCATGGAGGCTTCAAAAAGAAAGTGTTTGGAACCCGCAGTGCTTCCCCAATACATTTCTGGGGCTGGGAGCACCTCTTTCCAAAGAGTCCCACGGGGACTTCACACGGGGCTAGGAGCCAGTCAGCACTTTCCTTGCAGACAAGCATATAAAATCATGCCTGGTCCTTCCACGTTCTCTCAATCTTTGAAACCTGCAAGCGAAACGAAGTCTCCAGATGGACGTGCACCACAACTAGGTTGTATTTCAGACCCAGCTGGTTTGTAGCAGCAGCCACCTCACGCTGCTGCCTGAAGTTCAACTGCATTTCACAAACGGCTGAAACACTTGGCCTAAACCTCAGCGGCTTAAACCAGTGCCTGGAACAGCCGGGCAGGGAGCGAAACAGGGCTGAGCACGAGGAAAGGGGACGGGTGACTGTGCTGCCGTTACCTCAAGAGGTGTGGAATGAGGGGACATCTCGCCAGCCTGGGCACGGGAACTTCCCCCTTCCCTTGGGAACAAACTGTCCTGGTGACTAGGAAAGGGGTAGGAACTATCACGCTTCCCAGCTGTGCCCTGGTTCATCTAGGGAAAAGCTTCTGCAAAGAAGAGATGATTTCCAGCACACATGAGCAGTGTGAGTCCCCTTAGGACAATTATCTTTGTACGGGTTTCTCTTTTTCTACTGTGAGACACTTCGACGACAAACCTAAAAAAGGAGTGATGTCCCCAAAACACCGAGCGCTCCTGATGGCTTCAGCGCAGACAACACGTTCTGCCCCACAAGCAGCAGCACGTTGGCTTGACGTGCGCAAAGAGGAGGGAGCAATGGGAGATTCTACACAGAAAGGGCTGTCAGAGACTGGGACAGTCTCTGGTAGGAAGTGGCTGAATCGCCATCCTTGGGTTTTTTTAAAAACCACCTGGATGTGGTGCTCAGGGACATGGTTTAAAGCGAGCCTGGGACAGTTAAGAACGGTTGGCCTTGATGAGCCTGAAGGTCTTTTCCAACCTTAATGATTTTATCGTTCTGCACAGCCGCTGCGGCAAGACCCTGTGCCTGGGAAGGGACGCACAGCAACCTCAGCGTTTGGTCGTTTAACGTCGTTCCACCCTGCGGGCATCGGCACCCAGCAGCAGAGCAGGCTGCCGTGAGACAGTAATTCCCCTGTGGCTTAGCAGAGAGATCCACCCTCACTAGGGCAGCGGCCTCTGAGCTGGCTTCAGGGGGAATCTAAGTTTCTGTGCTCTGGATTTGCAGTGAAATACCCACTTTTTTCAGATATATCGAGAGAGGAGAATTAAAAAAACTGGTGACCTGGGGCCATTGAAACCCGAAGAGAGATGCGACAGTAAATATTTCCACTTCCAGCAGGTTTGTACATTCAAAAACATTTGCCTTTCCCTTTACTGTGACAAATACATTTACCAAATATAGCTTAATTACCTGCACAGCATGAGACAAATCTGACACCAAACAGTGCCTCAGCTTTTCATCATTTCCTATTCCTTGCAAAACAAAGTCAGGGACGTAAGATGAACAGTAGCCACCTAGCAAGGATCTTCCAAAATTGGCAATACTGGGCTGGACAGAGTTCACTTCAACTAATTTTGACCTGCAAGAGAGGCACATCAAAGAGATGTACAACAGTAAACAACAAATTCAGGTTACAGAGAAGTTGCATTTTCACATTTACCATCTCTCTTCTAACTTCCTTTGAGCACTTTTTAAAAAGAAAAGGGTTTAAAGTCAGCTTTTGCAGTCAGCGCATTGTGGAAGAGAAGGATAGGAGCCAAGATCCCAAGGCACAATTAACATTTTTTTCCAGCCCGCTGATCTCTCTATATTCTTTCACAACCAGCGAGCTCAGGAGACACTTTTCCAACCACTGATGGCTCCATTCCTCCAAACACGGGACGTGTTTCTATCTTTTTGAGGCCCCGCCACTGCTGAACAGCACTTACCCAGGAAAAGGAATCTCAAATTCTTCTGCCCAGTCCTCTTGCTCTCCTCCATAATAGTTACTGCTTGGTCTAGCCAGGTCGTGACCTGTATCCTCGCTTTCGCTGTCACCCAGGGCACTGTCTGAACTCTCATTTCTTGGAATGTCCCAGTCAATTCCCGGGGCGACTTTTTTCTCTACGTTTTCTCTATCCCCATGGGGGACACGAATAGAGATTTTCTCTCTTTGGTCCTGCTCATTAAAGCAGTTTTTGTAGGTCTCTTGCCGAACAGAGTCCATAAATCTACAAAACTCGCTAGGTGGTTTGCTAGCCTTTGTACACAGCTTTTTAGAAAACTCTAAACTACTGTTGTGAGCAAGAAGGTCTGTCGCTGCTTGTCCTGGAATATCATCAATAGTCCGGGTTTCAACTGAGCTGTCGTCAGTAAAATACTCGTCGAACAGACTCATGCTCTCCGCGTTGTACGCGTTTGGATTCCAGCTCTGATGCTCACGAGCAGCTTGAGGAAAGGGTTCAGCTGTCCCACAGTCTCTATTTTGGTCCTCAACAGTTTGTTTAGCTTCACAGCTCTGATCAGCAGACGCTCCTTCCTCCGCTGCCGGCGGGCTGTGATGCCTGGCAATTTGTTCCACCACCGCCTGACTTCGGAGCTCAATGTCTGAATCCGGGGACATGGAATCTCCGATGAGGAAAGTCACCTTCGTCTGAGCTTCTGCGGTGCCGCAAGGAAATGCGTCGCAGAAGAGCTTATCCGGCGGCTTCTTCTCCACGGCGATACCGGGTGACCTTGTCACCCCGACCGGCTGGCTGCCCGACTCCAGCGAATCCTCGCTGCTCCACGTGTTCGCTGCTGGCTCCAAACCAGGTTCCGTGACCACACGTTTCTCTGGTGAAGCTGACCCCGCGCACGCCACCGTCTCCAGTTTTGCATCTGGGCAGGGTCTCGGTTGCTTGACGTCACCAGCATCTTCCTGGCAGTCGTCTGGAACTATAGTTCTGTTGTCCTCCGAGGAAGATTCCAGCTCTACATTAGGAGCGTTTTGTGCATCTTCTCTCTCTTGCTGTGAAACACTTTCTGTGTTTTGTGCGAGGGAAATGGGACATTTGCAATATTTACAGCTACAGTTGGGGCTTCTCGCTTCTTCAGACTCCGTTGGTAGCAAGTTGCCCCTGTTCTTGTGCATCGTGACGAGCACATACTCAGATTCTTCTACTTCTCCTTTCTCCAGCGTGGTCGTTATAACAGTTCCAGGCATGACGATGGCTTCGTCTTCCCCATTTTCTAGAAGATGCGTCTCTTGAAGTTCAGAGCATCTGATGAAGTAAGTGAGGAAATAAAGCAACCTCTGTACCAGGTCGTGCCTTTTGCCGACCACAACCGTCTTCGCTAACCTCACGGGCGATCCGATAGCCCCGTACAGGTCACCTAGAACAGGAGAGAAACCAGACAATTATTTTGTAGCTTTAAAATAAACTATTCTTCCAACAGACAGTTGTCGTCACCAGTTTTCAAAGGCCAGGCCTGCGACAGAACAACTCTGAAGCAGAGGAGCGAGGACAGCTACGCCAGCATTTTGCTTTCAGGACAGAGAATCCCAAGGATGCTGTTGCTCTCGCCCGCAAGGTGACACGCTGGTCAGAGAGACACCTGATCTCACGTCCTGGGCAGCATCCACGGCACCTCACCTCAGCGTCGAGCTGTGGAGCCTCGTCTGCTGGGTTCTTTATATAGCCACGGGAGAGAGGAGGCCTCTGCTCCGAATTACCCTGGATAGCCTGGAGACCGGGCTGACCTTTCACCCACCAAGCGCAAGCTGTCAGGAGGAACAAATCCACGCCAAGAACGAGAGCGAAAAACGACAGCGGCGGGCGCGGAGATGAAGCCAACCTTCTCTTCCCTCCCCTCGAGCCCTGCTCAGGTTGGAGGGGCTGTCTGGGCTGAACCCCGGATTCACCCAGGGCAGTGTCTGTGCACGGGCTGTTGTGAGGGTGTCAGGGCGCCGCAGGAAGGCGAGGGTGGGGGGACAAGGCATCCGACCCAACCACAGCGGAACCGCTGAGCCCCACGAGCTCTGACATCAAGGCTCCTCACCAACTCCTTAGGGCAGAACAGGGCAACTTTGCAAAACTGTCCATCCCTAACCAAACTCCCTGAGAGTTTATGTGCAGAACAGGACAACACGACCAGGGAGCAGGGAGCTCATCCCCTCCTCTCATCAGCAACCGCGAGACAGCGTGAGCCCCCCAGCTTTGAGCCCCCTCACTCAGGGGCTGTGATTTCCTGCGCTGGGTCGTTCCTTCGCCTGTTGTACTGAGGGCGATTTCCTTGATTTGCTCTTTCCAGAACCCAGCTTATTGACAGCAGCATCCCCTGCCTAGTAAAATACTTATTTTTCTTGTTTTGAACTAAAAAGAAAAAAAAATGAACTGGGAGGGGCAGGGGGAGGTAACAAGCGCCTGTACAACCCACCGCGCGCACACCCCCGGAGGCAGAGGCGTTGGGCTGGTTTGGAGCTGTTTGCCACGTACCGAGCTGTGCCCACAGCGGGTTGTAGGGGTGGGTTTTGGCCAGCATGTCCACGCTCTGGGAAGAATGCTTTTCCAGGAAGATCCTTATGGGCGGCTGCCCGTTGGGCATGACGGTGGGGACCCAGGCCAGGTGGTTCGTCAGGACTGCAGTCAGCAAAGCTGGTAAAAACCTGAAAGCAAAAATGTTCAACATGTTGGGTTTTTTTCCCAGGTGCACATTCAGAATTTTAAACTGGCAGCAGTTCTACGGGCTGTGTGGATCAAAGGTTGCAGAAATGGCCCAACGAAGCTGGCAGAGCTCATCCCCTTCGTTTTGGTTCTTTGGGGAGAGAAGGGAGGGCTGCAAACCTCTATTTTAGAACACACACTGAAAGTAAAATGAAATATTTTAAACTCGTGGCACCTCAGTTCCTCTGTTTGGCAACGAGGCTTCCTATTTTGCAAGCTCTATGTTGTAAAAAACATCTTAAAACCAACGTACTTTGTTCACTGTAAGAAAACGGTGGCATGGTGTGACCTCAGTCCTCCAAGAGGGAGATCCCAAACCCTTGGGATCTGCGACTGCCCATGAGAAGGAACGCTATTGCTCCTGAACCTGGCAGACAGCTAGGGGCTGCCTTCCGCCACCTGCTAGGCAATTTCAGCACAAATGGCTGCTCCTTTTCAAAAATAGAGTTCAGCCAGAAAGGTTGTGCCCTTGCACCAGCAGAACAGCTTTCACTAGGTAAGCAAGTAAGGTGAAAGCTTTGTCTGAAAAAAAGCAAAAGCCTGAACTGCCTGATCAGTTGTAAGGATAGAGCCTGGTTTCTGCTCCGTGGAGGTTCCTGCTCCCAGGAGCCTCCCCGCGTGCCGACAGATGGTGCTGGCGGCCACTGCAGCAAACCCAGTCTCGGGGAGGAAAGGAGTCAAATGCCACCGAGCCTTAAAATAACGCTATTTGAATAGTTAATGAGCATCAGGCACCCCACAGCTTCAATTTAGCCATTTCCTTACCTGGAGATGGCCAAAGGGAGAAAGGAGATTTAAAACTGGATCAGAAAAAGATACGAGGCTCGATTTTCCTCTTGCTTCCAGCAGCATAAATCTTACTACATTTAACATAAAGTGAGTAAAGAAACTCAAACAAACACCCATTTCAGCGTAATCGAGATGCGCAGGGCTCAGAATGGCCGGGGCCAACACGGAAAACGCTTCCCTGCAGCGAGAACTGGTTTTAAGAAAACACATTTGCTTCTCTCCCTAAGCCCTGTAGTTTCTCCCGTGGCACCGAGGCAGGGAAGGTGGAACCACGGTGACCCCTGTCACCCTCCCATGGGCGGGGGGAGAAAAGCTGCCCAAGTTGGCGGCCGAGCTGGAGGGTGGGGAGGAGCAGCCCCTTGCCCCCCTGCAGGGAGCACCTTCCCCCCGAGCCAGAGCTGGGCTTTCAGTGCCACCCCTGCTCAAACTTCACGGGTTTGTGCTCGTTTTAGGACTTCAGTGGAGCCACACGCTTTAAAAAAGCTTTCCCTACTCAGGCTCTGGAGGAAGAAGATGAAGCGTTGACAAAAGAGTAAATTCATCAGATTCACTTGGCTTTATCAACAACACTTCTCAGTTTTTAACAACCGCTCAGGCCTTCGTCGCGAGGGCAGACTGGCGAGCGCTACTGAAGCACCATTTCTTTAGTGGCATTCTACAGAAGTTTAAGAGCAATTTGTGGTCAGACACGGCTCTAACCTTGCACATCATGTGATAACTGATTCGGAAAGGTAGATTAATTCATCGCATAAGGCATGTTCACCCCCTTCCAGACGTACACATCCATCACGCGCTTCCTACGGCCACGTTTCAAATGTTTGGCCTCTACCGAGATGTAGAGGATTGTGGGGAAGCAGGCATTTCATGAGACACTTCCTTTTTTGGGGTTGGAAATAAGATAAAGCCTGTTAATTCTTTGATTACCTGGCTTTTAAAAACGCATTCAAAAATTGCTTTGGAGTACACAGGCATAAACACATCTGTAATTTAAAAACTAAAAGCCACCGTACTGGTTTTTAGAAGCGTTTTCCATCAGGAAAGTGAACTCCTTCATGAAGCGATGGCAAAGCTGGTTCTTTTCTGGTGTCCCCGACATCATGGTAAGCCAGACAGGCTCCCCGATCCGTGGCATCGTGTAGAGATTGCAAATAGTCGTTCTAGAAAACAAAACCAAAAAATCCAGAAGACTTAACAAAGAAAAAACAAAACAAAAGCCAGAGATCAAATAAAGCCAGAACTCGAAGAATTTACCGCAACATTCAGTTCCAGCTGCCATTTCTATCAGAAAAAAATTTCTCTCATCAACCATTATCCAAACCATGTTCCTCATTAACAGAATTAATTAATCCTTCCACCTTGGAGGGTTAAAGCCTCGCACATTTCTCATGCATCTGCCTAAACTGGTCCCAAACACAGGAACAGGCACTGGCAGAAGTCCGGAGCTGCTCTCTTTTGAATTAAGACAAAGTGAATGATTTTTTTTTTCTTCCTATCCACCTGCTTTCTATCAATTTACTTCCTTGGCTTCAGAGTCAAAGCTGCCCTCTGGTTTCAAGGATAATGCAGCTCCTCACATTCTTTTTGACTCTATAGTCTGATTAAAACTTTGGCTCTGCAGTAAAACACCAGATTAAACCCTCTCAGATTACTGTTACATTCCTCCAAAATCTTTACTAAAGTATAGCTGTGAGTACAACACCTATGTTATGACACCCCCAGAACCTGTATTTTCATCAAACAGAAAGTGTAAGCCTGAAAAAAAATCCAAAACAACAAAGCAAGTGATGGATCAATTCAAGTTTCTCCCCACCTAACGCACTACTTTGTCTCAGAATATATACTTTTCTTTTACAACACAAAGATTTACGTTTTCCCATTCTCCCTAGCACCACCCCGCCCCGATTTATACAGATCTCGTCCAGATGTGCTGGTGTAAAAAAATTTATGGACACTTCCAGAAGTGAAGCGATCGCCGTGCGCGTCAGGCGGGCAAACGCACACTCGGGCAGCAGCTGCCAAAACTTCCGCGGTTTTAGTGTTTAAAGAGAAAATCTCAAGGAAGAGCGAGCCTGGCATGGGGGAGGAAAGAGTTACCAAGTCACCGGGGCTGCTCAAGGTGGGCAGCGGCATTTGCTGCCTGATTTTTCCCATCAGTTTTCATGAGACACAAAAACCGTCCTGTGGGTTCACAACAGTCAAACCCAGCCCTGCCTGCCCCCAACGGTTGGATTTTCAGACTCTCCATCCCCACAAGCTTGACGGGGAAGCCAAAAAAAATCATCCAGGGGCTGGAGAGGGGGGAAAGTCGAGTTAGCAGACCCAGAGGGTTTTTTGCTGTTTGCCAGAGGGGACGTGACCCGGGACACCGGGGGGTCTCCAGCAGCACGGTGCCATCGGGGCACCAGGATTCCAGGTGTTTGCAGCAGGGAGTTGGGACTAGAGGTGGGATTAGTGAGGGGAAAAGCTTTCTGTTCGCAGCCCGTTAACCGACGTGGATGTGAAAAGGGGCCCAAAGAAAGGGAGAATCCCCAAGTCCAGGAGCTTCCAAGCTCGCTGAGTTTCAAAGCTCAAAACTGAAACTTCAATCCCTCAGACACAGCTGACCTTAGAGGCCGAAGATAAACTGCACAACTGAACGTAAAACACAGCTTATTTCTCCTTTGTATGCAAACTAACCCCAGGCCAGCCTCTCCGCAGCTTGCCTGTTTCGAAAAAAAAACCAAAACGAAAAAAAACCCCCAAACTGAAACCGCTTCTATACCAAACCCCAACATGTTAAAATAATTTGTTTTCGTTGAACAAGATAGACCGAGTCTTGTGATTCGTTATTTACTATTCTGGTAACCCTGGCAGCATCTGCAGCTGATAGTGTTTCCTCAGCCCCAGATCAGATTGCCCTGGCCGGGGGCCAGCAGGCATGTGACTGCGGCGCAGGGAACCCTCCATGCCAGCGCAGGCGGCAGCGGCACACAACCCAAGGGCAAGGATTAACTGCTTTCCAGCTCTGCAAACACCCAGGGAAAACGCTCTCCCTCCCTTTCATGAAAGAAAAAATAAAATAATAAAAACCCAACCCAACGAAAAAAATTCAAACGCTATTGGGAAGTTAACCAGATCTAAAAAAATCATCAAAAAAATCAAACTGGCCCCTCTCAGCCCCCTCCCCTCTGCTCACACCCCCCCAAGCGCCAGCGTCGCACGAGGGGAAAGTTCAGTTAATGAGAAACTCCGTCCTTTTTGAGGGTTCACAGCGTGTTTAAAGCGGTTTGTGTTTGGAAATGGTTCTGGGAGGCTGAACT